TACATACATATGTTTAAATAACGAACGTTATGGATGAATCTTAAATAACGAAGTTTATGGCGCTCTTCTGTGACGGCTTTTTATGTCTTAATAATTATATATAGGGTGTTTTAGAACTCGAACCAAAGTCGAAATTTTGCAAAATCTCAAGAAAGAAAATCTCTCGAAAATAATAAATAGTAAAATGACATTTACCCTCTATGGATAGAACCCTACCTATGGTCCCATATAAACTGTATACTAAAATAAATAGCTTTGACATATAATTGTCGTTTTTCTTGATATACTTCCCTGATTTTATTTTATTTTTCCAGAGCACTAATACTCTCTTTATGTTATTTTTTATTGCTAGAACGATGATTTGAAGAAGAAATATTTCGTTCATATTATTGATGTCACTAAATAAACCCTTGTATAATATGTTATACTTCTAGATGTTATAGTAATGCATTTTCGTACAGCAAACTTTCATTCCCTATTCTACTCCCTAAGGGTATGAATTTCATAAATTCCTATGTCCAAATAATTAACTCATGTCTTTTAAATGATCCTTTGTGCAAATTTTTATGTGTATAATCCAGAGGTCACGAAGGTTTATATAATTTTTTACTAACTTTATCCATTTGGTTGATGAATTTCAAAAATCTCTTCTTATTCTTCTTTCTGTAGAATTTCATTCTTCTAGTAAATGATTTTCATACAACAAATCGTACGACATAATTTTACACTCTAAGAGGATACATTTTCTAAAATCGCTTTGCACAACTAATTCACTAATCACTAATGTCCTGTAAACGAACCTTTGTGCTAATATTGATGTATCTAAAGCTAGTGGTATAAACTGACCCCTAAAATATCTAAAAACTTGATATATAATCTCTATAATCTAACTGACACACCATTGACAATGAAAAATAAGTTATTTCTGGAGGTATTGTGTGTAGATGTTTTTCAGGTATGTTTTAATATTTATTCGTTTTACATAAAGAAATACCGATTAAACGATATAATAATACTTCATAACAAATCTAGACATATATACCTTCCATTTAAAAAAAGAATTATCAAGATTAGTGAGGCGGTTTCGGCGGGATGGATGTAACAAAAAAACCCTTTGAGCTTTTATACATATGTACCTATATGTATCCCACTTCGGTGTCACAAGCTGAATTTTTCAGGGAAGGAAGTACAAGTACGTGATATGGGGATCCTTATTCCAAAAGTAGTACAAAATTAGACCGGGTAAAAGGGCACTATCATCAAAAATCGATATATTAATACCACCGTATAGAGAAAACAAATACTTATTTTTTGATCCAGTACACAATAAAGTCTTTGTAGGGAGTAATTATTTATAATTATTTACAAAAAAACATTTCTATTAGCGCTTATGACCAAAAAAAACTTTAAACATGAATAACTCATTTCAATCATGCGAAAATTTGGTTTAAAAATAGACTTTTTTTAATATAACTTTCATTTAACGAAAAACGAAGGCCTAAATGAAAAAAAGAGACAATTTAAAAGTTTCGCTTATGTCTTGACACGGAAGGTATCAAAGCAAACCCCATATTTTTTGCTTTTAAACTAATAAAGATATATCAATAAACAATTAGCGATGTAATGGTTTTTGCGCGCGCTGGCCGACTGCCGCCGCTGCGCCGAGATTTCCTATACCCTTGTATATATGACGTCATGGTGTGGCAAATGTAGCATTTTAATTCGATTTGGGCTCCCTTATAATAGGATAACAGAAACATTTTCAATGTTAAAAATTTAAATAAAAAACAATACTTTCTTTGTGCTGCTGTATAACAAGATCTAAAACCGAACCAAAATTAAATTTAATTACATCTTATATTAAATTAATCAGGACATAACAAACGACTGTGGGCATGGCAAAGGAAATCCAACGTCTTGTTAGAACTGCCGCGCCGCTATGATCTTTTCCCGGAAAAAAATATCTTCCAATTTATTTGAATAATTGGAGGCTATTATTTTCCACTAACTGTAAGCGGTGCAAATGGACTGAAAACTTGGAAATCCACTAAAAGAAAAACGAAACACAATTTAGTTTTGGGCTTTCCTGAAAAGTTTAGAGAGTTTTTTTTTATACGAGCACGTGTGCGTTGATATTCAAGATTGGTTCAGGTTGATTTAACATCAGAGAAAAAAATCAGTAATTGGATGAATGAGATTAGACTGTGATTTAGTGTTATGTGTTTTTCGATTTTTTTTGTTTAGTCAGAATAATTACTTGGTAATTATTATGTCCTCATGGAAAGCTTTGAAGCTCCTTTGAATATTCAGAGCTTTAAAAATATGTAAAATAAACCGTTAAAAATGTTTTCTGATTATATGATATAATTAATTAATTGTGCATTAAAGTGCTTTAAAGTAAATAATGTTTTTTAAATTTAAAGCACTAATTAAAAGTTAAAAATTATTAATAATTTACCGTAAACAGGGGTAGCTTTGTGTGCTTATTTCGTATATTTTTCATTTTATTGATTTTATGGAAAGCACTGTTCATTAAAATGTGTTATCCTATGTTATAGGGCTTGTTTCTCTTTACAATTTTCTGTCTCACAATGTACCGTTTGTGTCCGGGAAGGGTTCATAGTTTCATAGTTGTCGATTTTCGAAAGAAATCAGTAGGTACATGTATATTATTTCGTATATTTTTCATTTTATTGATTTTATGGAAAGCACTGTTCATTAAAATGTTCTATCCTATGTTATAGGGCTTGTTTCTCTCTACAGTTTCCTGTCTCACAATGTACCGTTTGTGTCCGGGAAGAATTCATAGTTTCATAGTTGTCGATTTTCGAAAGAAATCAGTACATGTATATTATTTCGTATATTTTTCATTTTATTGATTTTATGGAAAGCACTGTTCATTAAAATGTTGTATCCTATGTTATAGGGCTTGTTTCTCTCTACAATTTCCTGTCTCACAATGTACCCTTTGCGTCCGGGAAGGGTTCATAGTTTCATAGTTGTTGATTTTCGAAAGAAATCAGTACCTACATGTATATTATTTCGTATATTTTTTATTTTATGGAAAGCACTGTTCATTAAAATGTTGTATCCTATGTTATAGGGCTTGTTTCTCTCTATAATTTCCTGTCTCAGAATGTACCGTTTGTGTCCGGGAAGGGTTCATAGTTTTATAGTTGTCGATTTTCGAAAGAAATCAGTACATGTATATTATTTCGTATATTTTTCATTTTATTGATTTTATGGAAAGCACTGTTCATTAAAATGTTGTATCCTATGTTATAGGGCTTATTTCTCTCTACAATTTCCTGTCTCACAATGTCCTATGGTAATAGGAAGTGTGTCCAGGAAGGGTTCATAGTTTCATAGATGTCGATTTTCGAAAGAAATCAGAACATGTATATTATTTCGTATATTTTTCATTTTATTGATTTTATGGAAAGCACTGTTCATTCAGCATTTCGCATTTCAACTTTGGTACATTCCTCATATTTTCACATGGTGTAATGTAGGTATGTTCGTCATTTTTAACAGTAAAGTTATCTCTACTTCATGCTATTAAAAGGTAACTAAAATACGACTAAACAACCTAATCTAGCAATTCTGCGATGATCACTGCATGTTTATTAACATTTCAAAAGTCAACTATAAATAGGTGTAGATATTTTACGAATTTTGTATACTTTCTACGCTACAAACAGAACTGTAATCTTCTATGAAAAACTAGTTAGTACCTATATCTTAAAACACTGTTATTTCCCTCATATTTTACGTAAAAACGGGTTTTTAACTGACACTTAACAGTTCAACACTTAAGTTCCCATAAAGGGGAAAAATAACAATTTCCATAAAGGAGAAAAATAAGAATTTCCAAATTTAAAAAAATAATAACTGGAACAGTTTCCGCCATATTGCAAAAAATCGATTTGTTTTAAATTTTGAATACCCTGTAGATCAGAACCCTAATTTTTTTAGAGTATTTATGAAACACCCCGTGTTTACAGAAATAAACAATTAACTACATAAAAAAAACCATTTTAAAAACTAAAAAGTTTTTTTAAACATTTTCACTCACCCTGTATATCTAAAAATAATTAAACAATTTTCTTCTAACCCTGATTTTTTTAACCTAACCTGACATACGCAGCTAATGAAAAAAAAACTACCGGAAACCACATACCAAAATTGAAGAAAGTATCTAAAGCAGTTTTCGATTTGTGTAGATCAGAACCCTAAATTTTTTATATTACTTATGAAATACCCTGTATTTACAGAAATAAACAATTTACTACTCAAAAATACCTTGAAAAAACTTAAAAGTTTTTTTTTTAATTTTTAATTTTAAGTTACCTAACAAACATAATATCTTGTTAATATGGCAACATAGGTAATAGATTTTAATTTACAAGAAAGAAAATCCAGAAAAGATCCAGTTGTTCCCAAAATTTAATAAAAAAATCATTTTTTTTAATTTTCTAAGTAAAATAACTCAGTTATTTTGGACATATTTGAAAAATGGTAATGAGAACAGATGTTTCTTTTATCGAGATCTACCAGCTCACCCTGTATATCTAAAAATAATTAAACAATTTTTTCGCAAACCTGATTATTTTATCAACTTGTTATCTCTTGATAAATTTATATTAGAAAGGAAAAAATTAATTTAGATTTGAAATTACAGATTTATATATTATTCATATTCTGTAATATTACTTGACTATTTTACATATAGTATTTAAAATAACTCAAAAAAAAATAATTTATAACATTTTTCATATAATCCCTACAATTCATTATCTATTTTTTAATAAAAATATCGACGAATACCATTTATAACAAATTACTTATTACATCTAAAAATAACTTAATTATTTTTTCCCTCGACGTACTTGATTTTATTTCATCCCAACTTATCTCCAAGCATCTCTACACGCTATCAAAAATAAAAGCATTTATATTAGACAGGCGCGTAAATTCAAATACGCGCCCCATCCACCAAGGCGGTCTTGGAATCGCCAGTCGTGCGCCATCTACCCAGCGCACACGATCGCGTCGCCTGGTTTCAAAAAAAACACGCTCGACATCGCGTCGCGCTCGGCATTCCAACAAAATTCAGTTTTTGTCAGTTCTTTACGCGAAAAAAACTCGGGATTTGTTTATAAAAAACACACACATTTATTTTTGTAGATATATTTAAATCAGTCTGAAATTTGGTCTCGTCGTTGTGAGTGTCGTATTAATTTTAGTGTGTAATTGATTACAGTGTTTTGGTGATGTAAAAAGGTGGATTATGTAAATACTACTGGGATTTATAGGAAGAATAATTACAAACTATGTGCGACAACAACTGTATCATCGAGGGAACTGTTAAATTTCGTGATGGAAAAAAGGTAAATTATTTGTTTTATAAAAAAATATTCAGATTCAGGGCATATAAAATAAAACGTTGCTGATATAAGTGTAAATGTAAACTCGCTGATAAAGCGGACGTAGAACTGTTTATTGCTGACATGTTTTAACTTTTTTTTTGTTATGAAACTGTTGACATTATAATAAAATTACGATAATATGTAAATAGGAGTTTGGTTAGATTGGTTGGGTAATATTCTACAAGCTAATAACTAATTTTTAGCAACTAGCAATAAAAATACGTCAATTTTTACGTGTTTTGGTATAATTAAATCCAATGAGTTGGCAAAAAAAACTAGCTGGTTTATTTTAGTACAATAATTATTATAACATAATATTTTTTTTTCAAACGGCATAATTTTTGCGACGTGACTGACAATATAAAAAAGTAATTTTAGAGCCTAGGCATAAAAGTAAAGAACTTTTACGCCTAAGCATAAAAGTACGAAAATATATTATTAAACTGACATAAAGTGTCAAATTCAACGAGCGTAACCATAGTTTTTCGTTATATAATAATAATTATTTACAAAATCATTTTTTTTTTATTTATTTTATAGCTTATTCTGTTGGGAGTAAAAATGACTTTTTGTGTCCTCGTCACAAAAAGTATCATTTTTACTCCTAATAAAACAATATATTTTTAATTCGCAAATATTTGAAATTTTAATTTTGTTGGTTTTAATTAAAATATTATTTTTGTTAAAATTGATGTATTTTTCATTTTTGTATATTTCTTTTCTATCTTTATGTCAGGATTTGTGGTAAATTTTTAAAATCAGTTATTTTTTGAATAAAAAAACATGTAAAATAGACTATTTTCTATTAAAGTTTAAATATGTATAAAATCTGTTGGTTTTAAAATTCTATTTTGTCTAAATTTATTTATATCAAATTTAAATTAAACAGAGCTTATTTTAATTTTGCATTTTACTCTGTTATCCAATTTTAGAATTTTGGATGTGGGAGTTCAGTTCATCTTGGGATTTTTTGAAATATAATATGCTGAAAATAATTAAATTTTAATTAATTAATATTATTAATAATAAAAAAATCTATGAATTAGATATTAGTTATTAGAGAAATACAAAGAAAAGTTTTCAGATTTAACTGATTTATTTATACAGTTATTTTTTTCTAGGTACTTTTTATTTTTGGAATCTATACAGGGCGAGTCTTAAATAAGTGCAAATATTTTTAGAGGTAGTATATTTCGATCCCAGAAACACGTGAGGTTTTTTCGCGAAAGAAATATTTTGAAAATTTAGAATTTGTTGAAGAATGTTTTGGAATTATTTTTAATTTTGAGTTAAAAAATGTAATATCTTCATAAATATGGCAGCATAGGTCGGTGATTAAATTTACAAGAAAGAAAACCCAGAAAAGATTCAGTGGTTCTCTAAATTTAAGCTAAACAATTTTTTTTTCAAACTTTCAAAGCTAATCGGTTGTTTTTGACTTATTTGAAAAACGATACAGAGAAAATATTTTTTTATCGAGATCTACAAGCCCTGAAAATATTTGCACTTGTTTAAGACACTCTGTATAATTTAAGAATAAAGAATAATTAAAAAATTATATTAAAAATAGCAATTATTATTAAACACCAAACCAAACCAATGTTTGGACAGTTCAAAATTTGCATGGGATTTCATATCTTTCCAAACACAATGCACCACCCGGTATAGATAAAAATAATGACGAAAAATTTTTGGCTAAAGCGTTTTTTCTCTATTTATATTTAAATTTATTTCTGCAACTATCCTTGTATATTGAACTTCGACTCCTATTTAATACTCAGTAAACACATTTATCAGTTCTTTATACATATATGATGCGATGATGGAATATCGAATGTCATTCGCGTATCGACAGCTACGTATATAGCTATAATTAGCTAAGTTTAGTTAATCCATATATCACAAAATTATCCATTAGTAAGTGTATTACAATAGGCCGGCGCATTATCTATGTATTGAATTGAATTAGAATGGGAAACCTATTCATGTATGTATATTATACGTGTATGCAGATATATAATATCTTAATACAGCCTTAACTATTATCTTAGTTTAAACAAGACAATAGAAATACTAGAATTTTTTTCCTTTGTTTTTTGATGGACTTATACAGGAAGGTCAACTTTTTAATAGTATATGACTTTATTAACAATCGATAGAAAACTTATTTTAAAAAGTAAAATTATTTCATATACAGAAAGGTCCACAGACTTCGAGACATAGGAAAAATCAAGTCCATTTAGCGTATGTCGCAATTTTCACACCTTAAAAAGTTAGTTTTGACATTAATGTATGGCCAATTGCACCGCGATATTTAAGGTCATCTTAGCTTAAGTCGAGTTATAACCGTGACTTTTTCTTTAAAAACGTAATTACTATGAAACTAAGAGAATAAAGAGTGTCCCTATTCATTTATTTACGTTTTTATAGCTATAGCAACTGCAGCGACTATGAAAAAAGCTGTGTGGTTTTCATAGAAAATAAGGGCACCTGTAATTCATTTGAGAATGTTATAAATCGCTAAGAGAGGTTTCAAATCTCTTGGATTTCTATTAATATTAAATAAATTTTATTAAAAATTGAACTAAAATTGTTAGTATCATTAAAAACAATTCAAATTCAAAAATTGTATCAGTCAAATACCCTCATTTAAGGTGAATATTAAAGTAAATATAAATACAGCTCATTCTAAGCTCTACTTATCTTTAAGAAAAATTTAAATCATTGGTGCAATTGGGCCTTAATGCCATTTCGAATGAATAATAGTATTAATAATGTACATTATAATAATAATAAATTTTATATCATAGTGTGTATTAAAACTACTAAAACACTTTTAAACTGGTTTTATATTAACAACTTTTGTTTTTTTTAATGCCCAAAAAAAATAAATAAAAGTAACAAATTTTTCAATCAAAATATTTGTGGTCCTGAAAAGGACCTTTGTTTTCCCATGTTCGTCAAGGTAGGTAATGGGTAAACGGTAAAAAAACAGGATAATGAAATTTAAAAAATTACAAAAATTGTTCAAAAGCTCTTTGTTCAAAAGCCACTTTTCAAAAAGCCTAATCAGAATTAGGCATATTAAACAATGATGATATTTTCTGTACACTTCTTCAAAAAGACTGCCTGTTTTCAGTTATTTTACAAAATGCCAAATCGAGAATCGAGGCCAGGCAGATTAAAAAATGATCAAAGTTAAGTCATGAGTCTATGAGCATAAGCATATTGAATAATTTATGTTTTAATAAAAATACCCTATATTTTCCTATACAAAAACAATAATTATGTATGTCAAAATTTTATTATATGTTTAGACGAAAACAACTTGAATCCTATTTCATAAATTTTAATTATAAAAACATAATTTTAAATTCAAAATATATTAAAACCTTAATATTAATATCTCATTTAATTATTATACTCTGTAATTCGATTCTGTGTTCAGGGTTGCTTCTTTGTCGAACTTTGCTTTCTTTTAGAATAAAATGAATTTAAATCTTTATAGTAATCGTCCTCAACCATACTCTATTTAACAGAATTATCACTTTTTGTGCCATTATTTCCAAATTTTGAAAGAGAAGTTCAAGAAATGTGTACCCGCGACTTCGTTCGCATCGAATTAATCGTTTGTAATGGTGATGATAAAGCAAAGCAAGAATTTCCATTAACATACAAACTGGATAAACTTTTCTCATATTTATGTCAGCATGAGAAAAATCAATATGGCGATATTTTTACATAACTTGGTAATATTTGAGGGGTAGTTTTATCCATTCGAATTTGACTTTCGAAAAATTCGTTTGCCAAAAATAAGCTTTTTACGTCAAGCAGTTTAAGCAGAATCGTGGTTAATCAATTACCCAACTTTTTGGAACACCCTGTATGATTTTTTAAAAAATTTCAACATATGTAAAAAAACAAAATAAATTATGCGTGTCCAAGCGTTTTCCCGAAAGACTAACCGTTTTTTAAATAATAAATATTGTAATATTTGAGGGGCGTTTTCACCCTCTTGGAATTTGAGATTCGAGAAACCCCTCCGTATTGAACCTCTACACCCCTCAGTCAATCCGTTAGCCAAAAATCAGCTTTAAACGTCAAGCAGTTTAAGCAGAATCGTGATTACTCAATGGTTATATTTTATGAAACACCCTGTATAAATTTTTAAAAAATCTTAGAATGATATTAGTTTTACATATTAAGTATGTAAAACAACAAAATAAAATATACATGTTTAAGAGTTTTTCCGAAACACTCACCGGTTTTTAAATAAAAATATTCTAATATTTGAGGGGTTGTTTCACCCCCTTAGAATTCGAGTTTCGAAAAATCTTTTCATATCAAACCTCTACACCTTAAAGTCAATCCGTTTTCCAAAAATCAGCTTTTTACGTCAAGCGCTTTAAGCAGAATCGTGATTAATTAATGAGCAGATTTTTCGAAACACCCTGCATACATTTTTAAAAAATCTTAAAATATGTAAAAAAACAAAATAAAATATACGCGTTTAAGCGTTTTTTCGGAAACGACCGTTTTTTAAATAAAAAATATTGTAATATTTGAGGGGTGGTTTCACCCCCTTGGAACTAGAATTTCGAAAAATCCCTTCTTATCGAACCTCTACACCCTAGAATCAAACCGTATGCCAAAATTGAGCTTCTTACGTTGAACGGTTTGAGCAGGATCGTGATTAATCAGTGAGTCAGTCACTTAAGGATTTTATATATTAGTATATGTAGATGCCTAGTCTTTTTGCAAAATGCCGAGTTAGTCCTTACGCCCGCGAAATATACATAAGGTTGTGTTGAAAAAAATAAGGCGTCAAAGGTGTACAACTTAAGGTGTGTTGGCATTTGCCTGTTTTTTATGCAGTTTTTCTTAAATTACTTAAAATCGGCTGGTCCAAAAATATTTGCACAGTTCAAAATTTGCATGGGATTTTCTGTTTCCAACGACTG